TAATCAACCTTTAGATTCAAACCAATCTTTACCTTTTTCGAATACGTCCGCTTCAATTAATTTGCAATGTAGTAGTAGGGATATTGAATAGTATTTTCTTACACCACCATAGGAGCTTGATCTCATTTTTTATCATTAATTTTCATTTTAAATTTCTTCATAATGAGAATTTCTTTTAATGTCTTAAGAATGTACCTTGAATGAAATTCAATCACTTCAGAAAAATCATGATTAGATAGCACCAAGGTAGCTCGAATTTAAGTGGCCAATCACAAATAGATGATCATTAACAGCTTAAATATTAAACTAATAAAGTAAGAAATATTTACATACTTGGATTTTCACGGACAGAGAGGAACGAAATGGTCAAGATGAACATTGAATTTATAGGCTTAGTATGAACTGTTTCTACTTCATATGTTACTTGGATTTTCACGGACAGAGAGAAATGAAATGGTCAAGATGTACATTGAATTAATAGCCTTAGTAAGAATTTTATCGAATTGAGTACGGTTTCTACTTCATAAGTTATCTTCAAACCACATCTTTTGTACCCGAATTGAAAGTTAGAACTTAACAAAATCATGCAATCTTGAAATTAAATTATACTTTAAAGCTGGTATTCTCAGTAACGTTTCTACTTTATAGAATTATTCAATCACTTCAGAAAAATCATGATTAGATAGCACCAAGGTAGCTCGAATTTAAGTGGCCAATCACAAATAGATGATCATTAACAGCTTAAATATTAAACTAATAAAGTAAGAAATATTTACATACTTGGATTTTCACGGACAGAGAGAAACGAAATGGTCAAGATGAACATTGAATTTATATGCTTAGTAAGAACTGTTTCTACTTCATATGTTACTTGGATTTTCACGTACAGAGAGAAATTAAATGGTCAAGATGTACATTGAATTAATAGCCTTAGTAAGAATTTGATCGAATTGAGTACGGTTACTACTTCATAAGTTATCTTCAAACCACATCATTTGTACCCGAATTGAAACTTAGAACTTAACAAAATCATCCAATCTTGAAATTAAATTATACTTTAAAGCTGGTATTCTCAGTAACGTTTCTACTTCATAGAATTATCTTTCCAGAACATCTCTTGTACTCGAATTAGAACTTCGAACTTTCATATAACCATGCATTTTTAAAATAAAAATTAAATTTGTAAGCCGATATTCCCACATGGTTGGACATAGATAGATATTTGAACTTCATAAATTGTTTTAAAAAAAATTATAACTCTCGTTTACGTATTATTGTAGAATTGTCTTTTTTATTTTCTATTCGGTTGATCCTTCACGTATTAAACACATATAACACGTTTAATACACTTAAATTTTAAGTAATTAAACTGATAATTTATTAATTTTGTATTTAATTTTACTTATAAATTCCTAAATTTGAGTGGGCTAAAAATAAAATTAAAAGCCGAAGCTATGTCCACCCAGCAGCTCACGCACCAAAAAAAATGAGAAGCAAAAAGACTCTTCAGGCCTCCCTTGCTTTGCGGGGAGACCAGGAAAAATTAGATTTAGTATGTGCTGAGCGAGAATGTACATATATGTATGGGAGGATATCTCTCTATTTGTTTTTTTTTATACAAATACACTCTTATATTATCAAAGATGTAACAAAAGTATTTTTTAATCTAAAATTCTGTTGATTAACGGTTAAAATAGCAGCAAAACTATCATATTGGCCTAACACGTAATGATAAAGTAATTAGATAACGATAAGTGCATTCCATAGTCGGGAATGAGGCTAACACGTTCTAATTAACTTCTAACCCATTTATAAAGATCAGAACTGTAGGCATCATGAAAAGGTGATATGGAAGTTAGGTTCTGCTGGGATCCAGTACTACAATCCACATATAGCCTTCGATTTTTAACACGAGCTAGTAGCTAGTTTCCTTTGCATTGAAGATTGAACAAATCTAGCTAGCTATAGCTTGGCACATACACAACCGGTGCGTCCATAATCGTTGGCAACAATTGTTGGGATTGGAAAGGTGTGAATGAGAATGAAAGGAGAAGAAGTCAAAGGTTGGTGAGTTATTGGTTCAAATTGATTGAATCGGACCGAACCAATGTGGCTGTTGGAATGAACCAACCGTTCCTACAACTATGGCAAACCAATGCAATGGTTAGGCATCTTTAATGTGAACCATTGCAATGGTTGGGGGTGTTACCACTTACCACCCACTTGAAGGTCACATCCCTTCACTCACACCCCTTCATTGTCTATAAATAAACACCTACTCCCTCTGTTTTCGACACAAGTTTTTCCCAAGAGATTTTTCTGGTCAAAAGAAAGAAAAAAGAATTTTTCCTCTCAACAAACACATAAAGAAAACAGAGTCCTGTGACTTCTCTCCGATCGTTGCGTTTGTCGGTTTCTGGGGGTTTCAAGTACCGGTACACCAGAAAAGGTACGCTCATTCTATCCTGGGAGGAATAGTTCCAATAACTTTGGATACCCTAGAAGGGAACTAAATTCCTTAAGGAGAAATAGTGAATTCTATTGGCCCGGCGCCTTGTTTATGCATGTGTTGATTTCTAAATGTGACTTGTGTGGCAAGAAACATACTTTTTGTGAAACTTTTTCATAACAACAATTATAGCGGTGTTAGGAGAAAAATTAATGTATTGATATTAATGGATTCATTTTTGACTTCTTTGGACAACGATTAATAACATGTTTCACAACACTCCGAACAATGTTTGAATGAGGGTATTTTATGATATTTTGGGAACCAACTAAATTAAGTTACTCTACTTCTATAGAAATTCAGTGAGAGTTTTAGAAACTAAAAGCTACGGTTACAGAGAAAAGATAAAGTTAACATAAAATGTCAAAGTATTGGTTTTTGAATCCTTTAGCAAAATTTTCAAATAAATCTCTGCTTCTCTATATCAATTACAGTGTTCATCATCATCAGACATTCATCACTTGCAAATAGTAAAGGCCACATTCAAAGACTATAAATTCGTCTGCTGTTAATTGCTTTGCTGGACCAAAATTGCAGAGATTTCCCAACCACTCACATGTCATGGCTCTCCCTTATTGACTCAGCCCATAGATCTTCAACCATCCAACTATCTCCACTCACTAGATACACATCATCTCATCATGTTTACCTCATCACTTTTTGTTGTTGTTATGAAAGCACGAAGAGATCCATGATTAATAACTAAAAAATCGACCTTAAATGATAAGACGTGTTTTGGAGTGAAATAGAAGAGTTCTTGTAAGAACTCCAAAATTAAATATACTCACTTTGAAGCACTGAAGGAATGGGTGACCTTATAGAAAGTCATATTGATATGCACATCAAGATAAAAATCGTGAGGATTTAGACTCGAAACATACAATATCTTGTCGAGAAAAGGATTCGGAATGTTAGAGTATCTCAATGTTTTCAAAACGGTATTAATTAAGAAATGGAAGAAGGGTTCAACTTTGAATCTGTCTCTCTCCTTAAATTATAAGGTCAAATAGGTGGATGGCCACAAATGCACTGCCCACGATTAAGCCACTACCACAGTACCACTAATCAATATCCAAATCCCCATGAGCCATGACTCTCTCAATTCTTTATTATTAGGAGCAGCAGTTGGATTAGATTTGCCACACATACAGAGTCACAGAGATAATTATTCTTGCTAATTAAGTTTAAAGCTTAATGATCACCATCTTTGTCATCCAGCGCATTGGATTGGAACTTCCCATTTTGCATCTTATAAAATTGACAGGTTAAATGGGTCATTTTGCCAAGCATCAGAGTTACTCAATGTCTCCAATACATAAGAGAAACAAAATGATAGTAACATGTTACAATGTTAGACAATTGGTTTATGATTGATCAGAGGAGAAAAAAGCAAAAAAAAATCAATTGATCATTGGACAAGTATATATTTATTATAAACGATTTTGGTAGATTTTCTTCCTCTCAAGTGGATATTATCGTATAAATGTAAAGAACAAATTAAGTAAGAAAGATGGTGAAATCTGGATGGATTCAGTCAAGATAAATGTTACATAATTTGAGCTTGAAATTGAGCGACCCAATTACGTTCGAGAGGTTTGTGGTGTCGAGAAGCGACTTTAAATGAAACCGTATCAAGAGAATATTTCATGCATGGAGTGGATCCAATCACAAAGTTCCCAATAGACCAATACTATATTGCCTGCAGACAAACAAAGGCTTGGTTTAGTGGTACTACCACTGGTTTTTAACTTATAGGTTCAAGGTTCGAATTCTTTATGTAACACCGACGTCGAAAAAGCAAACCTATGTGTCACCCTTATAAAAGAGTACTACATTGCTTGCAGGGCGCCTGAGAGTTTGGGAACCCAATTACATTGGAGACTATGGGTTCTAAAACTGATCTTAAATGAAATCATGTTGAGAGAGTATGAGTCGATATCCATCACAAAGTACCAAATTGCACTCATGAATTCAATAAACTCTCTTTAACACAGATTGAGACAATTGGATGGAACTAGAGAGCACCATCTATACAACACATCTGCAAATTTGTTACCAAAGATATGGAGCAACCTCCACCATTTATATCACTTGAATCAATAGTCAATGATTTTGGTACTCTCTATGTAGAAAATCTTGCCTCCCATTTGATTTCTTTGCAACAATAAGCTTAGGGCAGGTGAAAATCATACTAGTTCCTACTTGTAACACATTTTAGTTAATAATAATAAATCAATTAATATATTGATCAAATTTCCAGCCTAGCATATTACCAAAGGAAACAGCTCTCTCTCTGTCAATCTGTATCAGTAACTTTCCTTGCTTTCCCTTCCAATATACCGTTGAGAGACATTTATCAATAAATGTTGAACCAAAGATCTCTTCTTTTAACTTTCTTCCCATCTTCCCATTATTGAAAATTGTAGAAACTAATCAGGGAATAAATAATAATAAAAAGAGGGTATCTTGCAAAAAAGTAAAAAAAAAAACCCCAGCAAACTGAAGAAGCAAAAATATGGAGCTGCAAAGGAAATGGAAAAGATCAAGGAAAGGAAGCATATATAGAGAGAAAGAAAGGAGTGTTCTTTTGATCTTTTCCCTTTCTGAATCGTGTAAAGAGTAGAGTAGGGGAAGTGTCAGAGAGAGAGAGAGAGAGCTTAGCTGGCGAGAGAGCGGGATAGCCGGAAAGTCAAACTTCCTCCTTCCACCACCGTCATCGCCGCCGAATTCCGGCGGCCGCCTGCTTACCAAACCTACCCGACCCGCCGTAAACCCATTTCATTCCTTCCTTCTTCCACTGTCATTTTGCCTTTCCATTTTTAACTTCGAAAGCCCCCATTTTTATTTAACCCCATTCGTTTCTCTTCTTCGGCTGATTATTTTGATTTCTTTTTGGGCCATCTCCCGTTTCCCTCTTTGTCAACTGAAGAGATTGTGGTGTGCCAGAAGGGAAGAGAGAGACGGAGGAAACAGAGTAGGTAGAGAGAAAAATAGTATTTGGTAGCCAACAATTTGTTTTCTGGGGGAAGGAGAAGAGAAGAAGTGGGCAACGACGCAAATTGGAAGCAACTAATTTTGTTTGCGAGTGCTTCCTGAGGTACAAGGAGGAAAAGAGAAGAGTTGAAGCTTTTATTTATTGTTTTGGTTTGGTTTAGCTTCGTGATTGCGGTGAAAGGAAATTCAGTCCCACATTTCGTTTTTGCTCTCTGCTTCTCTTCCAAATTCTCTGTGGGTTTTTTGATGAATGGGTACGTAGAATTTGATATGGGGAAAAGGGTATTCGAGTTGCTTCTGCACTGTCCATAACAAACAAAAAGGAGAGGAGCCATGGTGGATCCCGCCAGTGTGAAAGCATTCACCCTTATTGTACTGAATCTGGTGGTGTTGTTTCAGCCGACATTTCAGCAGCAGCAGCAGCAGAGGCTTAGTTCAAGGATTGAGCGAACTGCCCTGTTCCAACTCAGGTCTAGTTTGGGTATAAGGAGTAAAGAATGGCCTAGAAAGGTTGACCCTTGCTTGGCTTGGGTAGGCATCAAATGTGATAATGGTACTGTTTCTGAGATCGACATTTCTGGGTTCAGGAGGACTAGGGTGGGTTCACTGAACCCTCAGTTTGCTGTCGATGCACTTGCCAATTTCACTAGCTTGACTTCCTTCAATGCCTCTCGATTCTCGCTTCCTGGCTCAATCCCTGATTGGTTTGGTCAAACACTGTTCAATCTCCAGGTTCTTGATCTCACTTCTTGCTCTGTAATCAATGCTGTTCCTGCTAGTTTAGGAGGTCTGACTAGCTTGATTCGACTCCATTTGGCTGGTAACAGTTTGACGGGTACCATCCCTTCCACTTTGGGTCAGTTGCTGCAGCTTTCGGTTCTTGATCTCTCACGAAATTTGTTTACTGGTACAATACCTCCTTCGTTTGGTTCCTTGGCAAATTTGACAAGTCTCGATATGTCTTCGAACTTCTTGGCTGGATCTATTCCTCCTGACCTTGGGACATTGTCCGGGCTCACGAACTTGAATCTTTCCAATAATAGTTTGTCATCTTCATTACCTGCTGAGCTTGGGAGCCTTGTTAGTTTGGAAGACCTTGATCTCACCCGCAATTCATTGACCGGAGGACTGCCTGTTGAGTTAAGTGGGCTGATTAATTTGCAAAGCCTGCTGCTTGGCAACAACTTCTTAGGTGGCCCTTTGCCAGCCAGTCTGTTCGCTAATCAAACTAGGTTGCAGAATGTGGTTCTCAGCCAAAATGATTTCACTGGTCCTATTCCTAGGGAGCTATGGTCAATGCCTGCATTGCGCTTGCTTGATATCTCTGGTAACAATTTCACAGGTATGCTGCAAGATATTGGCTTGACTTCTGAAAACACTAGTGTAGCAGTAGTAAATATCTCATCAAATCAGTTTTATGGAATTCTTGGACCGGTGTGGAGAAGATTCAGTTCTGTTGATCTGTCTGGTAACTATTTTGAAGGCGTGGTTCCAGATTATGTGCTTAACAAGGCATCTCTCAATAGAAATTGTCTCCAGAATGTCACGAATCAGAAGAACTTGTCTGATTGTTCGTCATTTTACTCTGATCGTGGGCTGACTTTTGATAATTTTGGGCTCCCAAATTCTACACAACCTGGAACTTCAGGGAAGAAGAGCAAGAAAAACATTATTATATTGGCAAGTGTACTCGGAGGACTTGGACTTCTGCTTTTAGCATTTTTCTTTGCTCTGTTGCTTTTCTGCTGTCGTAAGAGAAACGGTTCAAATCAAAGAGGGGTTGCTGTTGAGCCAGCTCCAGCCTCAGGGACTGCTCCACCTCCACCTCCAGAGGCATCGATTAACTTATCGAGTTTGGGAGATACATTCACGTATCAAGAACTGCTTCAAGCTACTGGTGAGTTTAATGATGCGAATCTCATCAAGCATGGCCACTCTGGAGATATATACCAAGGTGTCTTGGCAAGTGGAATCCCTGTGGTGGTTAAAAGGATTGATTTGAGCGCTGTTAAGAAGGAGGCATATCTGATCGAACTTGATTTTTTCAGTAAAGTTTCACATCCTAAAGTGGTGCCACTTTTGGGACATTGCTTGGAGAATGAAAATGAGAAGCTTTTGGTGTATAAGTACATGCCAAATGGGGATTTGGCGAGTTCATTGTTCAGGAAAACTAGTTCAGAAGATGATACATTGCAGTCACTGGATTGGATTACGAGATTGAAAATTGCTATTGGTGCTGCAGAAGCTCTTTCTTGCCTGCACCATGAATGTACGCCGCCCATTGTGCACAGGTACTTGATATCCTTTCTGCTCGTTTGATTCATTGTTTTTGTTCTGAAAACAACAGTAGCTAAGTTTTCTAACATAGAAACAATTGGTTTGTTAAAGATTTAAGTTCTGTGTTCCTCTGTAAGCCCATAGTAGTTGCCTCTTACTACGTTGATTTGCATGCATCACAATCAATATTACTTTGAGAATAGAAGTTGCCTCCAACTGGAAAGTTTTGTGTAATCTAATGATTGCTCCAGGAAAGTAGTAGGCAAGATTCTAGTATTACTTTGAGAATGGAAGATTGATATATGAAATCTAGGTCCAAACTTGTTATCTATTCCATATTCATGTGCATAAGCCTCCTTGCTGTATGTGTGGAAAAGATGGCAATTGTCAAGTTGCACCCCAACTTTCATCGGAGATGAATTGTCCTGCAAATAGCTGATCCATAGGCTACAGATTTTGCTACATGCCAACATGATCAGTGGAGATTGTGATGGAAAACGTTTGAATACTTCAAGCTGGATGATTGAAGGGTTAAGAATGCCATTTTACTTTACTTATCTTGCGATGTACCGTCTCTTGACTGTTGTGTTCTGGGATTCTCGTACCAATGCATGCTGCATAGTTATGTGGTGTTGATTGTTCAGCGACTAAAACCATTACTCTTTTGATTCATTGAAGAGATGTTCAAGCAAGCAGCATACTTCTTGATGACAAATTTGAAGTAAGATTAGGGAGCTTGAGTGAGGTCTGTGCTCAAGAAGGGGATGTTCATCAAAGCAGGATCACCAGGCTGCTGCGGTTACCGTAAGTATTCAAACTGACTTTAACCTTGTCATGAAAGTTTAACTGTCACAGTGAACCATCTTTCTGATCACTAGCTGGGTCTATCTTTTCCTATTTCATACTTATGACGACTCTGAACTTATGGTTTTCATCAACCCACCCTTGGTGGCATCTTGTCTATCCTGGATAGTATTATGTTTTATGTATATTATATGTCACCTTTCTCTTGCTTGATCAAGTCTGCTAATTAGATTTCTCCTTCGCAATATGCAGGTCTTCCGATCAAGGAACTTCTGGTACGTACTGGATCTCAATTTCTAAAGAATTTCGTTAAACTACTACACCTTAGATTACCTATCCCACATAGCAGCTTTATCTTATAACTCATTACTATTGACCGGTTCGATTCTTAAAGTAATCTGTTGAATTCATCCAGGTCAACCGACAGCCACGTGTGCCTATGATGTCTACTGCTTTGGGAAAGTCCTTCTCGAGCTAGTGACAGGAAATATCGGCATTAGTGCTGCAAGTGATGCCCAACTGAAGGAGTGGCTAGAACAGATCATCCCCAACATAAGCATGTACGAGAAGGAACTCGTTGTTAAAATCGTGGACCCATCTCTAATCATCGACGAAGATCTCCTGGAGGAAGTTTGGGCCATGGCTATAGTAGCAAGGTCATGCCTGAACCCCAAACCTTCGAGACGGCCCCTAATGAGATACATTCTCAAGGCATTGGAAAACCCTCTGAATGTAGTGAGAGAAGAGACTACAGAGTCTGCAAGGCTAAGAACATCCTCGAGAGGGTCATGGAATGCTGCTGTATTCGGTAGCTGGCGTCAGGCATCTGATGTAACGGTGGTACCTCCAACAGCTTCCACCAGCCGGCGGCCAGAGGGAGGAGGGGGCAGTTTTAAAAGGTCAACAACGTCGAAGTCAAACTCACAGTCGCAGGGGAGTGGTGGTGGGCAGAATGGTGGGGGTGGTGATCATTCTTCTTCACACAGACGGCATTCCAGGGATATTTTCCCCGAACCAGCCGAAGGCCAACAAGATATAGAGAGGCAAGAACACGAGTAGGGACGCACGAGAGAGTGCGAGAAATGTAGATGTGGGTAATGGAGATTCTTTGTTAATAAGATGGCAGCAGCAGCAGCAGCAGGCTTTCCTATTTCAGAGTGCCTGCTTGCTTGCTTGCTGGGTTTCCCTGGTGTGGATGAGTCATATTTTGTGGGGGTCCTTTGGTTGCCTTGGTGTTGAAGGAATTAAATTTCAGAGGCTGGTTTTTGTTTCATGGCAGTGATTTGAGGGTTTGATGGGAGATCACTGGTGCAGCAAGTCAACATTATTTGTTTGGCAGTTTAACGGTTATTGAACAGAGCTGCCATTTTTTCTTCTTCTTTTTGAGTTCTGTAAGTGGGGTTTCTTTGTTCTTTTGTTGTTTCTTCTTTTAGTGGGGCAGTCTTTGGTGCTCTGCAATCATTGTAAAGGTGTAAACTTTGTTAAGAATCTGATGATACTGAAATTGGGTGGGGGATTCTCAGGGGTTCTTCTTAAGTTATCTCCTGGAGGGGGAAAAGATATCGTGGAAAATAACAGACAAAAGAGCAGATTTGTACACTTGTTAGTTTCCTGTTCCTGTTGTTTTTATCATGTGCTTGAGTTTTGGTAATTATGCTACTCCTTCCTTAGAAAGAAGAAAGACTAGCTGAGAATTGATGGGATTTGAATTCATTTCGATATCCTTGTTCGTATTTGTCATTGCTCAATGAATAATTGAAGGAGAAGAAGAACATACAAGTTGGAAACTCGTAAGATTCAAATTGACTATTTTAGAAGACCGGATGGAAGTTCGTGAAATTTGACCCGATTACTTAACTGTCACAATCTCGTTACTGATATAGCTAGATCGATTAGGACAAGGAGAAATAACAAATAGAGAAGTGAGAACTCATAAGATTATAAATTTAGAATTGACCACTTCAAATTATAGATTGAAATTCCGCAAAATTTCACATCATTACCTGAAACTAGCGATTCTATATTGATACCTCTAGACCAGAAAATGAAAAGAAAAACAAGTAAACTGAAAATTTACAGAACTCAAACTCACTATCAGAAAATCATCAATTTGACCCGATTACTTAACTGTCACAATCTCGTTACTGATATAGCTAGATCGATTAGGACAAGGAGAAATAACAAATAGAGAAGTGAGAACTCATAAGATTATAAATTTAGAATTGACCACTTCAAATTATAGATTGAAATTCCGCAAAATTTCACATCATTACCTGAAACTAGCGATTCTATATTGATACCTCTAGACCAGAAAATGAAAAGAAAAACAAGTAAACTGAAAATTTACAGAACTCAAACTCACTATCAGAAAATCATCAATTTATCATCCTCTCGTTGATATTGCTAATCAATAACACTTTCGAAAAATATTTCGAAAAATATTTTTAGCACATATGAAGGGATTGTTGCATGTTATTTGTTGAATACATGAATTTGGCTTTTTAGCCAAACGGAGCAGAAAAAGTGAAAAAAAAGAAAGGTCCCACCGAGATTTGAACTCGGGTTACTAGATTCAGAGTCTAATGTCCTAACCACTAGACCATGGGACCTTGTTGATATAAATGTTGTCAACAGGAGTTAATATCCATTAATGATCTCCAAGCTGACGTCAATCTCCCCCTATCCGTTGCTTTCCTTTCTTGCCGCTCCAATACCACACTGCCATTCTGCAACCATGCTCTCTTGCCCGCACTACCACTCCTCCTTCCACCTCCACCGCAATCCCCCCGCCGCCGTTACCGTCACCACCGCCGCCTTCTCCATCTCTGCCTCTCTCCCACGCCGCCATAATGCCCAATTCTCCAACGATTCCTCCCCGGCGGCGACCAACACCAACTCTCCTCCCCCTCCGCCACAGCCAAAGGACTCAATTCTCCGCACACAGAACGCCAAAACCGCTTCCCTCCTCTCCCGCCACCTACATCACGATTCCTCTCCCCCTGCAGCTCCCCAGCTCCCCGAATTCCAGCAACAGGTCTTCCCTCCCGAGGAGCAAGTGAAGCGTCAAGAGCTCTCCCTCGTCGCCACCAGGCGAGCTCCCAGGTTCCCCGGCTCCATTTCCTTCGACTCTCCCACCTCCTCCGCCGCCTCTCCTCTTCAAACCCTGTTCGTCAAGGACGCAGGATCGGCCGACGACGAGGACGATGGTGGTGGCGTGGAGGACGAGACGATAATCAAGGCCGTCGAGATCCGCAGGAAAGTCACTGCCGAGATTTTCCAGCAGGCGATGAAGAGGGGAAAATTCGGGCTGACGTATGCCTCCAATTTGGCTGCTAAATTGGGGGATTTCCTCGATTTCGTCATGATCGAGGCCGCCGCGATGAAGAAGCTGCGGCAGTTCGAAGGTTCCAGCTTCAATGTTCGAGCCAAGATCGTCATTGAAGAACTGGAAGTTGTGTCACTTATCAGGTATTGGCTGATGGAATTCTTGAGTTTGGTGTCAATTGACGTGCCATTAGGGTTTGCTTTGAAGCACAATGAGTTGTGAATTGTGATTGCAGAGTTGTGATTCTAAGTGCAGGTGGTTGAAGCACAATGAGCTGTCCTACCCCAAGATAGCTAAGCTCATAAACATGGCGAGAGGACGGCTCGACACTGTCAAGCGGCTTGCTGTCTGGCTGAAGACGATTCATGTGAAAGGTGAGTTTCTGGGGCCTGTGCTGACCAAAGCAGGGGGCAATATTTTGGAAAGGAGCATTGAGGAATTGGATGAAATCGTCGAGTATTTGGAGAGCAATGGTGTGAAGAGAGATTGGATGGGGTATGTAATGAGTCGATCTCCGTCATTGTTGTCTAACACCATGGAAGAAGTGAGGGCTCGAGTTCGTTTTTTCTTGGAGATGGGTATGAATGAGAAGGATTTTGGGACAATGGTGTTTGAGTATCCTAGGGTCCTTGGCTATTACAGTCTTGAGGAGATGAACCAGAAGGTGGGGATAAAAAAAAAGAATTTCGATTTGATGGTTTCATGTTTTTACACAAGAGCTATTGAGTTGGTGATACATTTTTTGGTTCATTCAGGCTGATTATCTGAAGGAGTTTGGGATCAGTCATCAAGATGTTGGAAAACTCCTAGCATTTAGACCACAGTTGATGGGCTGTAGCATTGAGGAGACATGGAAACCTCTTGTTAAGTACTTTTACTATCTTGGAATATCCAGAGATGGTATGAGGAGAATGCTTATGATCAAACCGATGATTTTCTGTGTCGATGTCGAGAAGACCATAGTGCCAAAGGTACACATGTTTGAGAATGAAGCTCTCAGTGGTCATATTATGCATCAACTTTGAACAAGCATTAATGAATTGTACTTCTGAAGGTACGGTTTTTTCATGACATCGGGATTCAGGATGATGCGATTGGAAATATGCTCGTCAAGTTCCCTCCGTTGCTAACCTACAGCCTGCACAAGAAGATCCGGGCAGTGGTTTGTCCTTAACTCATGTAACTGACTTCTGTGGATAACCAATGCTCTCTTACTGAAAGATGGTGATGGAATGTGGGTTATGATGCACAGGTAATATTCCTGATGACAAGAGGTGGGGTGAGCGAGAGGGACATCGCCAAGGTTATAGCTTCAGGGCCCGAGCTCTTAGGGTGTAGCATAGTGCATAAGCTCGACATCAATGTCAAGTATTTCTTCTCCCTTGGTATACGCCCTCATGTGCTGGGGGAGATGGTTGCAGACTTCCCCGTGTTGCTGCGGTACAATGTGGAAGTCCTCCGTCCAAAGTATCGGTACTTGAGGCGGACTATGGTTGGCAGCTTGCAAGATGTAATCGAGTTCCCAAGGTATGAGAAACTCTAGACACGCGTGGATACTCGGGGAAAAAATACCTTCCATTTACCAATGTCGTTGTGATGTTTTTGTTGCAGGTTCTTCAGCTACTCACTTGAGGATCGGATAATGCCACGGCATAAGGTATTGGTAGAGAAGCAGATAAACATGAAACTGAGGTACATGCTAGCATGCAGCGACGAGGAGTTTGAGAGGAAGGTGGAGGCTATTCTGGAGAAGAGACGAAGTTTAGAAGCCGGTCGACTAGATCAGAAAGATGAGCATATAGGCTCACTTCAATTATCATGAGCTAGATGAGATGATGGACTTGGAATGAGGGCTACCTGTTCCAGTATAGGCTGTTCTCTACTAGCTCCGAACCGGGATTTGGGATCTACTGTTAGTCTGTTATCACCATTCCCCACCCTTCATGTACATAAAAGAACTTCAAGAGCTAACTTGATACATTCAAAATGCACAACATTGGATTGTAGATGAAATCCACATTAGAAATTCCCTTAGTTACACCAGGAGACTCAGCTAATTCTCTTCACATAATAATAAGATTATGACGAAAAATTATTGAGGTAATACCGGAACTTGCAGCTAGAGAACACCAAGTGCCCTCCCAACAATTACAGGGCAAAGCATAACTTCACGATCAAATATCAAACTACAACTGCGGAAATCTGAATAGCTTTCAGTCCCTACAGGCATATTCTTTTATTCTCCATGTTCAAATTAAGGTGAACAACTGGCTTCAAATGGCACTCTCAGCGACAGACTCTCAGACCTGAGGTTCTCGGCACTCTCAGCGATAGAGACTCTCAGACCTGAGGTTCTCGGCAATCTCAGTTTCCCAACGGTCACCATTCTCGAGCAGCTTCTCCTTGTCGTACAAAAGCTCCTGTGACAATTCAATTCCGCATTTTTAGGGCATTGCTTCCCTCACTGGTTTCTAAGGTTACTACGGTTAAAAGCATATGGTCCAAACCTCGTGGGTTTCGGTGGCAAATTCGAAATTTGGTCCTTCAACAATGGCATCAACAGGACAAGCCTCTTGGCAGAATCCACAGTAGATGCACTTGGTCATGTCAATATCATACCTGCCATAGAAATCAAGTGTAAGAAGCAGGGAGGGAAGAAATATTCTATTGCCCACTACAAAGAGGAGAGACAGAAAGACAGTGAGCAACAGTCTCACCGAGTAGTCCTACGGCTTCCATCTTCTCGTTCCTCTGCCTCAATTGTGATGGCTTGAGCGGGGCAAATCTGGAAACAGTTAAGAGTTATGGGTCAATGGACACAGTTCGCTCACGGGGCAGTTGTTTATCATAAGATGCGGCAGCCATATTTAACTAATGAAAATTAGCAAACTTGTCAAGATTTCAGGTTGTGGTTTTTCGAGTCACATTCCATGCATACACAAAAAGGGCATCCAATCAGTTCTGAGAGTTGAGTTCGCAAGTTGCCAAAACTAGATATAGGTAACAGAAGTTTGCTGGTTTACAGAGCTAGTGCATTAACATCATGCACCACTTCACAGGCTTCATGGTCATGGATCCCAGTTACATCTAAACTAACAGATGGAGTGTCTTATAGAGACAGTTTATAGACCTAAGCATTGCATTAAGAGGGTTTCGACACTTACAGCTTCACAAAGCTTGCAAGCAATGCAACGTTCCTCTCCTGTAGGATATCGACGGAGGGCATGCTCTCCACGAAACCTAGGACTCAAAGGACCCTTCTCAAACGGGTAGTTGATCTACACAACAGACAGATAGAGAGATCATCATCATATTAAATCCATCACTTTAGAGTATGTGAGAAACGTGGGGGGAGGGTGCAGAAGACACTTACAGTAACTTTTGGCTCAAAGAAGTACTTCAGGGTCAACGACAACCCACGGACCATTTCGGTAAGGAAGAGTGTGTTTATGCTTCTCTCAAACACTGCATTGAGACCAATTGTTAAGTTTACAAGCAAAACGCTGGTGACAAAATTTAGAGAACATGTTTGTGACAACACATCTTACCAGAATTCCAATCCTTGGAAATTTCCTTTGCAAGTTCCTCTCTCTCTATATCCTCTACATTCACAACAAAGTCGTCAGCGAGAAATAATTAGTACAGAAAACGTCAATTGTGTGACAATAGCTAAAGCACCAATATTGTGGTAGGCAAACACACTTTGGACATTCATGCATTCCTAAGATAGCTACAGAATGAATCTAAGAAAATTATCAGTCTTCCCATGAGAACGGTTCTTCGAGCATCAAAGGATAAAAAAACCCATCCTTCCTCCTATTCTTTGACACACTAGACAAAGAGAGTTCGTACATAGATGAGATGAGAACACAGTACTAATCCAATTATTAGTTTTTCTAATGAACTGGATATTTACATTAGTATAAGCTTTATCCAGCAACATGATGTGTCGAGACTTTACAAGGATCAATAAATAAAACCCAAATATAATCGTCCACCCCTAATTCCTAAATTCTTTTTGAGTCATGCATGCTATACCTTCCACGCATTGTGAATATATGGCTCACCTCTGTCTGTTGAATATAAAGCACTGGATCGCATGGCGTACAGAGGTGAGGTCCGCAATGCCTGACCAGATACAACCTGTGAGAAAGGAAGGTACAAAATGTTATAATATATAAAACCAAACAACTAAATCTAGTTCAGAACCCAAAAATGAAAAAGTACAGCAAGCAGGCAAGGAAGAAGCAATGAGAAGAATTGAAGGCAACAAAATGCAGGTGAACTTATGGATGAAGACATAATTTAAAGGTAGAACATAAGTGACTAGTCTGTACTTCGGACGACCGTGGCGAAACCTTTTACCAGTTCTACAACTAGTGAGACTTGTCATACAATAATCTATGTTTGTTTATTTTGCCTTCAGGAGACTAGAAAAGCCATTAACCAAAGAAGCACGTTGTCTCCCTTTGCTACCACATCAAAACCGCAGATTAACTGTCAACTAATGGAGGTGAACGTAGTCCCTTGATCCATTCTTATTTTTAGTTACGAGTGACAAACCACCCCAATTCAGTGCTAATGCAAAAGGTATCCATACAGCCAAGGTTTCTAATACTTTACCATGCAACCCATCACCAAAAAGTGACATTCAAGACCGGGGGACAGGTATCGCGCATCAAGAGTAAATTAACCAGTATCTTCTGCGGCATGAGAACCTTTCTTGGCTTGAAACACAAACCCAACAGCTCATGATAGGCAGTGTGACTCTATCCTCTGCAAAGTTACATACCAGACAAAGACAAAGGGGTTCTAGAAATATTTATTATCAATTACAACCCAGAATCCCTCAAACAGATAAGTAAATCCTCAAAAGCTTGAGGATCTATTCCATCCTACGACCACAAGCAACTCTCAACTCCAGTTGCCAGCATTTCTACTCCCCCGAATCTAGCCTCTTATCAAGAGCCTTCCTTCACATTACTATACGACTCAGAGTGAGGAATCCAGACAAACTGTAGCAGATTCATTGCTATGTAGTTGAACGATTGCAAACTACGAGAATTTACCATACGGCATACGCAAATGGAGTGTAAAGCAAGACCTCTATCATTAATCCCGTCAGGATGCGGATAAAAGACCTTACTATGCAAACAAAAAAAAAAGTTCCCTTTGACCCTTACAACAGCTTTCCAATGAAGTAGGAAAGCCTCTAAGCGATCCATGAAATGAAAAGCGAAGTAATCACTGGCTCGGAATTTCTCACATAACTGAAACACCGATCACCCTCTAAACGAGGGGGAAAATCACAAAATTGTCAATTCACACAGAAAACCTAAAAGCACTACAGACCGAAGCCACAAAGGAGAAGGAAGAGAATCGACGGGGGATTACAATCAGCCGGGATGAAAATTGCAGAGCAATACAGAAGAGAGTTTTGCTTACCAGCTGCCGAGCGCGGAGAGCGGAGAGAGACTTTCGAGCTAAGATGGCAGCCATTTTTCAGCGAAGCAATTAGGCGATCTTGTGCCTGTCTCCTTCAACCTCCCTGCTCGATCCCGAAAGCAGCAGAATAAACTGAAGACACTTCGCAGAGCTGAAAATATTTTGTTGGGGATGGGGGGAGAGAGATCGGATCGTTCGCTGATTCGTTCAATTGATTTACGGTCTGAAAGCCGGGAGAAATCTGGCCTTGGAGTTTAGGCCTGCCGGCCCAACCCAAGTACCCAACTGACTTTGAAGGCGGTGCGTTTTATGAAGCTTAAGCGGCCGCGTATGTGCCTTTAGGCCTGGGTCTCTCTCGCGGTGTTACCGGCAGACAACGGTATCGTATAACCATTTTGATTTTTAAGAATAAATAGTATCAATTTTTTAACGAATTAATAATTAAGTGGTAACAATTTACATCTCGTAGTTCGTTCTGTTCATACGTGAATTTCGTATTCTTTTCCTATGTATTAGTTTGATTTATCAGTGTTATTATTGATGTGTCTCTACCCTAAGTAGTTTTTAGTTAGAGATACCGAAATATGAACACAATCGTTAAACTGCAACTTCATAATAACGTATGTTTTCAAAATACAATCATCAAACGATTTTTTTTTCCTACAGAAAACCTACAAACATTGTCCCGAGACAATTTGGATCATCCTAATGACTTCCACACGACACAAAATAGCTAATTATTAGCTTTGAGAAATTTTACCATGAGTAATTCGATTAATATACTATCCTCCTAAGTTGCACATAGCCATAATTGTGTACTAATTATTCTTGGGCTCCTCTATCTTCATGGATAGCTGTAGCATGAAAGGGTAGCAAGTAGGAATCGTGGGGAATTATCATAAACGGTCACAAACCTTTGTACTTAGTACAAAACGATAATAAACCTTTAATTTGTAACAATTTGGTCACAAAAAATTGAACTTGTAAGAAATGGTCACTTATGTTAATCTCCATTCATAATTCTGTTAGATTTATATAGTTAGCATTCCACCTCATCAAAACAAATAATAAACAACTCCAATTTGATATCTAAAACCAACCATTACTCAAACCGGTCAAAAATTGGTCAAGACGGTCAATCCCAATTTTATATGATTCCTTATAGGATATAATCCCAACCAATTCGATCAATCCCATATCAGGAGGAGGAAGGGGGAAACACTGGGGAAACGAGACTCGACCCGACGCTTCATCCTCTCTCTCTCTCTCTCTCTCTCTCTCTCTCTCTCTCTCTCTCTCTCGTATGCTACCTTAGCTTTGTCTCTCTCTCACTCTCACTCTCGTCTAGCAGGAGCATCAGCGCGACGGTGAAGAAAAAGAAGAAACTAATGGCAGCGACTCTTGGCGGGATTGGTGACGAGTTGAAGCAGGCCGTGCTCGTGGATGCCACTAAAACCAACTCGCCGTCATGGAATCGTTGTGGCGTCGTGACCAGCGAAGACAGGGAGGATGAGGTGGAAGGGAAGAAGAAGACGTGAGGCTACGGCAGGGTAGATCAACCCAGGTCTTAACTTTTGAGTGGGTTGGGTCATGGTAAATTTTTAATTAATAATTTGAATTTGTTTCTTAAAAGTTTTGATGAGGTGGAATGCTGATTAAGCAGGGGAGACGGAAATTTGGACGGAAAGTGAAAGAGTTACCATTTTAATATTCGCTCAAATATTTGTTATCAATTTTTTACAAATTAAAGGTTTGTGACTGATTTGTACTAAGTGTAAAGGTTTGTGAGATTTTATGTTAACTAGTTATCGTGGCCCGCGCTCTGCGTCGGGACTTGTGATAAATCGATGCAATGATATATTCAATATATCGTCTAATCCGACAATCATGATAATCTTCAGCCATGGGTTTGGGTAATAGATTCGAAAAAAGAGTTTATAAATTTTGGTGGCAGACTACCTCTCATAACCAAAGTTGCTGATTTATAATTGATTTTTTTTATAAGGCCACAGTTAGAATTGGGTTCTTAAAAGGCCAACAAATAATAGTCCATTTGTGTATCCAAGTGCAACGTGTACCCGGCCCTGGCAATTAAATGGATGCCCACTACTATGCGTTTAACAAACGATCATTGTCTTCAGTTTTTCATTTTGTTGGATTAATGTGTGGACCTAAAATTTTGGACGATGAACATAAGAAGAACACCAAGAACTGAACAGCAAAATCCCAAAATTTAAAGTTGGACCTGGTTTCATAAGATATTTAGGGGCTTCAAGTTGTTGTCAGAGAGCTGCACATGGTGAGCATGACAGAAATTTGATTTTGTATAAAAGCCAAATAATGAGGTACTTGGTAATGATTCAAAATATGTCATCCAGATGTTTGTGAGAACAAATTATGTTCTCTTGCCACAGGAACCGAAAACTATAAATGGAGCCTCCCCGGTTGAGTCCCTCAAAGTCAGCTGTATCTTATAACTGAAAATCCACAAACATGAGATAACATGGTGCATTAGAAAGCAAACCAAATAAACTAATCATATGAACATAAGCTGAAAACTTATATTACATGGATACATAATAGAATGCTCACCCAACTCTAATCTGCTGCTCATAAATTTCCCAATGCTCTGGGCACCAATAACCAACTCCTCTCTAGGTAGAGCACTTCCTCAAGCACATATTGCAAGCAGTGTAATACCAGGGGTTTCGAGACTCAACAGACTTAACAAATCCACTACAACAGTACTTGGCATCCTAAACACCATGACATCAGAACACAGAAAGGGAAAAAAGAGTAAACACCAAACACCGCAAGCACGCACACAGTAAACATAAGGCAAACATACTCGATGCATACCACAGATTCTCCGAGAGTATGAAGGTACAACAGGTCAGCTATGGTTCGGGCCCTATTTGCAGCATCAGCAGCAGTTGCCTCAGTCGTGGCAAACTCCACTGGCAACTCCGACACAGGATCCCTCGCCCCCTCCCCCCAAAGCTGAGTTGAAAACAAAAGAACATCAGAAGCAATAAAAAGGGCTGGAAAATCACTGAAAACATGAGCACAAAACCAAAAAGAACTTACTGAGTGGCCAAATGAATTGCTTCTGGAATATGTGGGTTAACAACCACCCTAGTAGCCGACGAACTGGAGCATACATAATTTTCTGCAAGAAACCCAATGAAAGCAACAATGTAAACGCACAAGAAATACAAAGGGGACCGAAAGAACCTTTGGATCCCAAAGGTATCCTTGACATGAGCACAAAGAAGCACATACCATTAACAAGAGAGACCATGAGACTCCCGACAGGCGACAGCAATTATAACAGGCTCAATCAAGTAAGCTTGGATTAAAGCATCACGCTCAAGAATAGTAGCAAGCTCATTCCAAAGAGTGATGGTAACTGTCTCACCCCTAAAGAATCCAGGAGCATTTCATGTCAAGATATAATAAGCAAGCAAAAAGGTAAACTCTCAAAAGAAACAAATATGACGACACACATACATATGATTCTCAAGCACCAACATCTGCTTGGGAGTAGGTCCAAACTCGGTGATCTGATGCCCAACGCCGCCGATAGCATGCAAGTGACCAATGACATCTTCAACACAGAAACCCATGCACACAAATCAGGAAATAACAGGGATCAATCAAGTCCGCAACTAAGCATATAAGAACCTTGAATGTAAAAAAGAACAAAGGTAATAGAGAACAACCTGTGAGGATAGCATGGTTCCCACACCTGCCCTGCAACTGGCTATACGACACAATCTCAAAAGAACCAGTCGGGAATCCAGCAGCCGAAAGAGTGCAGAGTTGAAACCCTGTCGTCCCGGTCAACTTGATAGTTAGATCAAAAGAGCAAGCCCGATACAGCCCCCTTGACGACTGAAGGTCGAACCGACTGACAACATAGATGGCACCAACGCGAAGAGCGCGCTTCGTATCTGCCGCTATCTCAGGATCAACAATCGACTGGATCAGCATTCCCTGCATTTCGCACACAAACATGAGCACTCAAAAGGAAAAAGAAATTCAAAATGAACACTGATAGCATCGTATTTGCACGTGTTTTCACTCTGGTTTCCTGCCCATTTTGGCTCGAATTGATTGTTCCTTGGCCTATTTTACGCTAGGTTGTGTTGTTTTGTCGTATTTCAGGTCCTAGCAAGTAAGGAGGTGCATAGGCGCAAGTTTCGGGTCATTTGGAGGTCAGATGGCGAATCACAGACAGAATTACGGGCAGCCCCTGCCAAATTACGACCGTAATTGGCCAGGGCATGCCCGTAAATTAATTGCCGAGCCTTTTCCCCAGAATTTCCCCTCGGTGCTAAAATTACGGGCAGGACCTCCAAGAATTACGACCGTAATTCCCAAATTACTGGCGGTAATTGGGAAATTACGGGCGTATCTCCTCCTCCTCCAGCTTAATTGAAATGTGCGTTTTGGTGCAAATTACGGGCAGGACGTGATTACGGCCGTAATTCTGCCCGTAATTCGCCCAGAGTCGGGGATTTGGAGGCAGATTCGAGCCAAGGCAGAGGTATTCGAGTTTCTAGAGGAAAAACAGAGTTTTAGAGAGAGAAAGAGCGAAGAACAAACCCTAGGAGCTATTTTGGAGTGGATTTCTCATCATTGAAGCCCAGATTGCGTCCCTAGGAGTGAAGATTGACATCCCAGAGCAGATTTTCCTCATCTTTATGAGTATGACTACTCTGATTTCTGTTTTCCTTTCTCTCTCTATGGAGTAGAACCTTTCTCTCACTTGGGTATGAAGAATCCTAGTTCCTTGTGTTAGGGATTTGATTGTAATGACTTGGGATGATATTACTGTTTGATTTTAATCGAATGATGCATGTTTATTGAATTGATTGGAGTCTGATCAGCTTTTCTCAATTTCTGCTGCAACCTGAGATAGATAGAATCTGATTAGGTTGTTAGAGCTTCTTCATTCGATAGTAGGAGATTGGCTATACGAGAGTTAGCCAGTTTACTGTTTTGTACTGGAATTCAATTCCAGTAGTGGAGTTCTGTGCTTATTGCTTCAGCTTTCTATCCCGGTGAAGACTAGTCGTCTGCCGGATAGTTAGGCTGAGAGGGCTTGGTCAGCTTAAGAGATTCCAAGCTACTGTCGGATCTTCTGCAGTCTAATCAACAGTAAATCAACCCAGGGAATTACAATTGAACCTAACTAACCGAACAGTTTACTGCTTTCTTACTGCTTTTGCTTTTAAACAACAATCATTCGAATTAGTTTGCTAGATAATAGAGAATCACGGAGTAAGCAGTAGATCTAGACCCCGGGTTGATAATATAACTTGCCTGTTACTGCATTCCCGGACTGCGATTTCA